CGAAAACTGTCCAAAACAGTTGGGTGGATTTTGATGTGAGAGGACAACAGGGGAATGACTTTTTCACTTCTAATGTTATTATGGATTATGGATTCTCTATCTATGTTTTAGCCAGAAGCGATGGTTTAAAGTTAAAACACCTTAATGATGGATTTGTTTATTACAAACACACAGCTTTTCACTTCACAAGATGTTAACTGATGGACTGGAGTCATGTGAATTACCTGTGAATCACTGTGATGTTTTTATCAGCCGTTTAAAAAAAATGTATAGCCTGAATGCACTGTAAGTCGCTTTGGATAAAAGCGTCTGCTAAATGCAAATGTAAATTTTTGAACTCTCATTCTGACGGCACCCATTTACTGCAGAGGATCCATTGTTGAGCAAGTGATGTAATGCTAAATTTCTCCAAATCTATTCTGACGAAGAAACAAACTCATCTACATCTTGGACAGTCCAAGAGTGAGTACATTTTCAGCAAATTTTAATCTTTTTCTGGCATGATGCACAATTGTGGAGGATGCAACATTTTTGGCTCTGGAGAACTGCCTCAAAAGCAGATTTTGTAGCTTAGTTTTGATTCACTTTATAGTGAGTAAACTTTATTTCAAAACACTTAGCGTCACAGAAATTCTTTGTATATTATGAGGTATCGCTTAAATGTGTTTGTTGTCTAAACACCATTTTGTGATGGTGAAATGGATATGGATGCAGTGGATATAGATACAATAGATGCAGCCACTATATACCATATTGAAGTGAATATAAATGGCTTTGCTTTGCTCCAATTTCTTACTGGAAAGCTGCTGGGTTAATGCATATCACTCCATCTATTCAGACATATACTGTACCATAAACACATACGCATTAACACTTCTCCTGTTACAATAAGCACCCTGCTCGGGGTAGTATGGACAAGAGACATGTTAACCTGATCACATCACATGCTGGAAAAGTAAATTTGCCAGCCTGCATATAATACACTATATACTGTACTTAGTACATACAGAAGCATTAAAGGGGTCATATGATGCTGCTAAAAAGAACATTATTTTGTGTATTTGGTGTAATGAAATGTGTTTATGCGGTTTAAAGTTAAAAAAACACATTATTTTCCACATACTGTACATTATTGTTTCTCCTCTATGCCCCGCCTTTTTGAAACGCGTAGATTTTTACAAAGCTCATCGGTCTGAAAAAGTGAGGTGTGCTGTGATTGGCCAGCTATCCAATGCGTTGTGATTGGCCGAATACCTCAAGCGTGAGACGGAAATGTTACGCCCCTCACATACTGTTGATGCCGTGTCCCGGCCGGAGCGACGAGACAAAAACATAAAACCCATTACAAACGAGGCATTTGTTAAAAAATGAAATCGCATCATATGACCCCTTTATGCATAGAGAGTCATAAAATAAGGAATAATTTCTGATATAGCCATCTGTCAGTTGAACAATATAAATACTATATTTCCAGTCTGACATTTCCACAGTTGGTGAAGAAGTACCTTCAATCACCCAAATGTGGGATTTTATAGCATATCTCACTAATTCTCCATCTGCACTTAATCTAGTTTAGCTGCGCTGAAAGAGTCATGAGAGATTTTAAAGTAATGAGAATTTTCAAGTCTAATTTCCAATACTGATTACTGCATCCTGAAATGCTACTTATAATTATGCATGTCAAAATAGTTCATGCATCCATTCCATCAGACATTATAACCAGTTCCCCTACAATAACTGTACAGTTCTCGTTCAGGTTGAGATGTAAAATAAATAATATGTTTTTTATTTGATGTAATGGAAAGAATGAACCATTCAAGAATGCACTAGACCTTCTGAGTGCGTTAGAGACCAGATTAAGAGCCGAAGGTACTGTTACTTTGATGCCATTAATGAGCACATTATCTGTCTTACTTGGATTAATTAAATCAAATAACAATGGCATTGTTTCTGAAGATGTTTTCATGGTTTGGTTGTCAAAGTAATGTAAGCCTATAAGAGTTAAGAGAACCCTCATAAGAACAAAACAATCAATGGAGGGTGTTGTTTGGTTTCACTGAATTCACTTCTTGACA